ATAATACAAAAGACAAAAATAAAAATAAAAATAATAAAACTTATTTGCTGCTATCTTTTGCTGATGCAGCAGATGCAGCTATCCATCTAACAAAGGCTTATGAGGGGGCCCTCACCGGCGGCGCTTTGAAGGCAAAGGCACTCTACAGAGCCAGGCTGCTGCAGCAGCAGCAGCAGCAGCAGCAGCAGCAGCAGCAGCAGTGGGAGCAGCAGCAGCAGCAGCAGCAGCAGCAGCAGTGGGAGCAGCAGCAGCAGCAGCAGCAAGAGGAGCAGGCACAGCAACAACGCCAACTCCAACAACAGCTGCAGCAACAGCAGCAGCAGCAGCAACAGCAGCAGCAGCAGCAGCAGCAGCAGCAGCAATTTTATTTTCAAGAGCAGTTGCTGCAGCAGTACACCCCGTGGGTTCATGGGGAGTGCATGCGGGTGCTGCTGCTGCAGCAGAATTACGTAGGGGCGCTGCAGCTATTTGATTCTCTCCTCGACCTGCGGCAGCAACTGCAGCAGCAACTGCAGCAGCAGCAGCAGCAGCAGCCGCAGCAGCAGCAGCAGCAGCAGCAACTGCAGCAGCAGCAGCAGCAGCAGCAGCAGCAGCAGCAGCAGCAGCAGCAGCAGTTGCTGCCGGAGCTGCCTGCAGGAGTATTAGATTTGGCGTTGCGGGCGATGGAGGGGGTGAGGCTGCTGGGTCAGTCTCCTCCGTGGGTTGCTGCTGCAGCTGCAGCAGCTGCTGCAGCTGCTGCACCTGCTGCAGCAGCATCTTCTTCTGCTGCTGCTTTGTCTCCTTTCTCTGCTGCTGCTCTCTCTCACTCTCACAGCCCCCAGCAGCTGAGGAGACAGCTGCTGGGGCTAGCAAGGGGAAGACACCGAGCAGCAGAAGAATTATATAAATATATAAAAACAAAAGAAATGAAGTTTAAACAAAAAAACAACAACAGCAACAAACAACAACAACAACAGGTTGGGTTTACAATAATAATAATAAGAGATACACACACTGCAGCAGCAGCAGCAGCAGCAGCAGTAGCAGCAGCAGCAACAGCTACAGTGGCAGCAGCAGCAGCAGTAGCAGCAGCAGCAGCAGTAGTAGCAGCAGCAGCTGCTGCTGCTGCATCAACAGCAGCATCAATAACAGCAGCAATAGCAGCAGCAATAGCAGCAGCTGCAGCAGACTGTCTCCTGTATCTGCTTGCTGCTGTATCCTCTTCTGTCTCTGTGTTGCAGCACCCAGGCTACAGCAGCAGCAGCAGCAGCAGCAGCAGCAGCAGCGCTGCAGCAAAAGCAAAGGCTCGGCTGGTAGGCAGTAGCTTCATCACCTCCTATGGGCACTCAAGGGGGGGCCCCTAGACCCCTTGGGGGCCCCTTGGGGGCCCCCAAACCCTAAACCCTCTAAACCCTAAACCCTCTAAACCCTAAA